CCCCCTAATTAATTAAAGATAAAAAGCCAACTGTTTAATTCAAGTAGAGAACATAACATCAAACCAATTGTCCTAAGGGTTTTGGCTCCTTCATTACATGATACTTATCTCAAATTTCCTTTCAGCTGTAATTAGAAGAATAAGCAGCGAAACATCAATATGTCAAGTTATAGTGCAGCTTTGTAAATCAATTCAAAAGCTGATCTTTAAGTAATGTACTTTGGATGATCTCCTATACAAGCAATTAAGATAGGCTGCTCTGTAGAAAAGAGTAATAAAAGAGAGAAACGGAAAAGCAGGGCTGCAGTGTAGCGTGACATCCTCCAGCCATGCTCTGCTTGGCTGTTAGGCCAGCCAGAGCATCGAACCTCCCATCTCACCCCACCAGAAGCCATAGGCAGCACCAGGATCAAGCAGAGCCTCGATGCTCCCCTCCCTGCGCCCCGGAGAGCTGATTCCCAGGACAGGTACCGGCACTGCTCCCCTGGGAGCTGCGCTCGGCTTTTGGTTTGGACAAGCAGCACAGAGGAGGGGAGCGCAGAACACTGACCCCTTCCTTCCAAAGCACCACACGTTAATTTGGGAAGGAGGCACCGGGGTTGACTCCACCTGAGGCAGAAACCATGTCTCATGGTTGTGCTTGGCACTGGACCTTTAGAGACAGGAGTGCTGCTAGGAAGAAAAGCTCTCAGCTTAAAAGAAGAAAGAAAAACCAAACAGTATCTTCCAAAGATGAATAAGCAGTACCCGTCAGGTCCTATGTATAAATGGAGCCAAACCCACGCTGTATAAACACACACATGGTTTGGTTTAAATGTTAATTTTTTTTTCCTTAAAATTGAATTACCTACTCCTAAAAGATACGGTGTGAAGTAAGAAGAGAGCAAGCAACCAACTGTGCTGGCTCTGAGATTGCAGCCGTAAACCAAACCCCTCCGTGCTGAAAAGCAGCGGCAAGAGCAGCCTTATGGTTTGTGCTTGCCAGCAGCAGTTGTTCTATAATCACTGAAACACTGATGTTACTACATGGAGTAAAGCTTCAGATGTGAAGAGTCCCTTATACTCAGTCACCTCTGCAAAAACCCTTATTGGTAGTAGCTCCTACTCAGCAGCTAGTGGGAATAAAAACAGAAATAAAGAAATCAAATACATCTGTTATACTTTTACTCTAGGATGAGCTAAGCTAGGCAGAAGCCTACATTGTACTTCCCCAAAGCACACTGGGGTCACAAAGCACAAGTGACAGCAAACATGCAGTGTCCCTCTTAGCTGTCAGCATGTAAGAAGGAAGCCTTGACACGCGGCTGCTGGCACAGCAGCACCGAGTCATGCCTGCAGAGAGGCATGAGGTTAGCTGAGAAACACCCAACGTACTTGGACAAAATCTGAAGGACATGGATAATTATACAGGATCATGATCAAATATTCAGCAGTGCAAGAATCCCCAGGGAGCGCACCAGAGAGCGATGATCGAAGTGACACATGCTTTAAGCAACTGGAGCCTGCCTGCCCTCCCGCCAGGCGTTTCTGAAGCCCTGGTGAAGGAGCATGCTGGGCTCCAGCATGGATTTTTTATGACTGCCAGGACTTGGGGAAGTTCTATGGACCTGGAGGAAAAGTGCTTCTGCACTAGCAATGACAGGGAATCCTGCCAGCCCCAGGCACCACATGCTGGCGTCAGCTGCAGGCGAGAAGCTGACACAAGATTTGACTTGTATCCTGTTCTTTCAATTTTTTAACATCCACATGTGGCTTGCCAAAAACAGATCCTGTCAAACTATCAATCTTTTCCAGCATGATAATTTTAGCTGATAATTATAATAGTACTGGCACAGCAAACATGTTAAAGAGAGCTGAGTCAGTCTGGCCCACATGAGCTTAAAAAAACCTCAAACGATATAAAGTCAGCCAGTGCTGCTGAATGATTTCAAATCACCCAAATGATAACATCTCAAAAAGTAATGATAAATACTGGAACAACATCAGACAGGTTTGTTTCTTATGAAGGTTGTTCACAGCCCTTTGCTAGTGAATGTCCTTCATTCCAAAAAAAACAACTAGCCATTTCTACTAAAAAAGTCTGTATGACAATGCATAGATGGGCAAACAGTAATGAACATTAAGGACTGATCACTGAATAGATTGATCAAGGTCTGCTGATAAGCTCAAGCTATCAAAGCAATGTTCATTTCACTGTAAGTAGATACATCAAGCAACTGAAAAAGCAAGCTATGTTCAATGAATGTCAAACTCAATCCTCAGCAGCCTGAACTCGCACCAAAAGCTGATGGAGAAACTCAGAGGCCTGAGCTGGCAGGACAGTTTAGTGGGCACAGGATTAGCAGGATCCCGAGCCATGTGAAGGAGGGAAGCACTGGCCTGGAGAGCATCCTACCACTGCCTTTAAGCAGCGATGCTGCCTCCACCGGGAAACTGTGATTAGATATTCACGATCCAAGGGAGGTGTTGGCAAACTGCAAAAGCCATAAGAATAGTAGAGAGTAGACAACACCGCCTAGAGCAAGGAAGTAAAGAATTTCACCCAGGTGGCTATGCAGAAGGCCTAAAGGGTTATTAAGTCACAGCCAGCAAAACCCACGGCGGAGACAGGAATTCAATAAAAGTATGTTTTCGATCTAGCAAAGCTGTAATAAAGATCCAGTTGCTGGAAATCAAGAACAGACAAGATGAAAAATGAGGTACATCTACTGCAACACTGAACAGAATGAACTACTGCAACTACACGGCAAAAAATGTGTTAGATTCTCCACTGCTGGAGATGCTTACATCAGTATCAAACCCTTTTATAAGACATGAGCTCTATTTTAACCACAGCAACTGGACCCGAATTAGGACTAAATACAGATATACCTCAAGCCATAGGTTTTTACAAGGTATCAGCCGTTACAGTAGTTTTCTGGCCCTACCATCAATGAAGCAAACTGAATTTTGCATGTTCGTGAGGTTTTGCCCCAAGACGGGACTCTCATGGAGCGCAGCTGCTAGGCTGAGGGCAGAGGTGTTGGGTTCTCACAGTGGGAATGGCCCATGGGACCTCACATGCCACGACTAACATGCATTGGCAGCAAAAAGGAGGTGCCTTAAATCCAGAGCTCTGCGGTTCCGC